AAACTATTAGAATAACTGTATTCAGCATAGTTGCAGGATACAAAATTAATACACAGAAATCTGTTGCAATATTATATAGTAGCAATGAACTAGCAGAAAGAGAAATCAGGAAAATAATTTCATTTACAATTGCATCAAGAAGAATAAAACGCCTAGAAATAAACCTAACCAAGGAGGTGAAAGAACCATAGTCTGAAAACTATAAGACACTGATAAGAGGACTTAAAGAACATACAAATAAATGGAAATCTACCCCATGTTCATGGATAGGAAGAATTAATATTGTCAAAATGGCCATCCTGCCCAAAGCAATTTACAGATTTAATACAATCTCTATCAAAATACCAATGGCATTTTTCAATGAACTAGAAAAAATAATCCCAAAATTCATATGGACCCACATAGACCCCAAGTAGCCAAAGCAATACTGAGAAAGAAGAACAAAGCTGGTAGTGCTATGCTCCCTGACTCCAAGCTATACTACAAAGCTACAGTAATCAAAACAGTACAGTACAGTACTGGCACAAGAATTGATAGAACAAGGGAACAGAATAGAGAGCTCAGATACAAACCCACACATATATGGTCAATTAATATACAATAAAGGAGCCATGAATATACAGTGGGGAAAAGACAGCCTCTTCAACAACTGGTATTGAGAAAACTGGACAGCTACATGCAAGAGAATGAAACTGGATTATTGTCTAATTCCACACACAAAAGTAAACTCAAAATGGATTAAAGACCTAACTGTAAGACATGAAGTCATAAAATTCATAGAAGAAAACATAGGCAAAAATCTTCTTGAACATAAGCATGAGCAATTTGGGAGGGGACACATCTCTTTGGGCAAGGGAAACAAAAAATGAACAAGTGGGACTACATCACACTAAAAAGCTTCTGTATAGCAAAGGACACCTTCAACAGAACAAAGAGGCAAACTACAGTATAGGAGAATATATTCATAAACAATTTATCTGATAAGGGGTTAACATCCAATATATATAAAAAATTAATAGGATTTAACACAAAAAATAATAATAATAACCTGACTAAAAAATGGGCACAGGTCTTGAACAGACATTTCTCCAAAGAAGAAATACAGATGACCAACAGGCATATGAAAAAATGTTCCACATTGCTAGTTATCAGGGAAATTCAAATCAAAATCACAATGAGATATAACCTCATACCAGTTAAAATGGCCACCATACAAAAGACAAGAAATAACAAGTGTTGGCAAGGATGTGGGAAAAAGGGAACGCTTCTACACTGCTGGTGGGAATGTAAATTGGTGCAGCCACTCTGGAAAGCAGTATGGGGGTGTCTCAAAAAACTAAAAATAGAAATACCATACAATCCAGTAATTCCACTGCTAAGAATTTACCTGAAGAAAACAAAATCGCTGATTTGAAAAGACAGATGTCCCCCTCTGTTTATTGCTGCATTATTTCCAATAGCCAAGATATGAAAGCAACCAAAATGCCTATCAATAGATGAATGGATAAAGAAGATGTATGAAGTACATATATACAATGGGATATTACACAGCCATGAAAAAGAAAGAAATCCTATCATTTGTGACAACATGGATGGACCTATATGGTATTATGCTAAGTGAAATAAGCCAGGAGGAGAAAATCAAATACCAGATGATTTCACTTATTTGTGGAATCTAAAAACAAAACAAAACAAAATGATCAAAATAGTGATATATTCACAGACACTGAGAAGTGACTGGTGGTTACCATGGGGGAGGGGTTGGGGTAGATGGGTGAGGAGGATAAAGGGGCAAAAAGATTCTCAATCATAATAATGTAAGTTGGTCATAGGGATGGTAGTACAGCATGGAGAATATAGCCAATGATTCTGTAACATCTTCATATGTTGACAAATAGTAACTATACAAGTTGGAGTGAGGATTTAATAATATGGGTAACTTGTTGTATACTGGGAATGAATATAAGATTGTATATCAACTACACTTCAATGAAAATTTTTTAAATGTACCTGATTTTATTGTTTAACAGCATCTACTAACATATTACTTTTATTAATATTTTAAACCAACATCTCAAGAGATGCCCCAAGCAGAATTTTGTCCATTTTACTAGTAAATGAATAATTATATATTTACTGACTCAAAAAGATTCTCTTTAGGCTAGAAAACCAAAGCAAAATAAAGACTATCAACTCAAATAAAAAATAAAATATTACTAACCTTATAAGTAACTTTGGATATTCTGTTTAGTTGCCAGAATTAAAATGTAATAGCAAGAAACATTTAACCTAAAAAAACTGGAGATAACAGATATTGCAGAAATACAAGCTCAGGCTAACACTTTAAATTGTATTAAACTGTACCAATCCAACAATTGTTTTTGCATACCAAATCTTTCAATTCTTTTATACATTATCTTCATTCCCAAAAATTCACTATCAATGTGAAAAGTAGGCCTACACATATTATTTGATAGTAATTTTTAAATGGCTAGAATATAATGGATTTTTGAAGACACATCTTAATTTTTTATAGTAAAGATGTGAAGGCACCTATATCAAATCCAAAGAACATATGCTGAAAATATATTAAGAAGAAAATAATTTAAAATTTTTCTTTTGTCCTGAAAATAAACATTCTCCTAAAAAGTGAAAACTCAGTGAATAAAAGTATCCAATGACAACAACAACTAAATGCATGGCACATCCAGGTATTGCTGGCATCTGGATTTATAATGAGTGAGGAGAATGACAGTCTGTGGAAAGCCACTAATTAACATGCATTAACCATATATCTTACAGGGTGTACAATACTGGTTTCTTAAATATCAATAAAATATATATTTCCTTGATTCTAAGATGCTATTAATTATAGGAGACCATCAACTAAATTACATAAACCATGTTAAGTGAACATGTAAAATGGAAGATATATCCCAATTGCAAAAGCAATTAAAAGTGGTTAAGAATATGTATCTAGAATTAATATAGTATTATATCTTTTAACAGCTTTATTGAGATATAATTTACATGCCATAAAATTCATCCATTTAGTGTTTAATTTAATAGTTTTTAGTATGTTCAGAGCTGTATAACCCTTATAATATATTGTAGAACAGTTTTATCAGCTCCAAACGAAGCCTCTATACCCACTAGCAGTCACTCCCTCCCCTCCAACCTCATCCCTTTCCTCCCCTACAAGCGCAAACCTAGGCAATCACTGGTTTGGTTTCTATCTCTGTGGAATAGCTTGTTCTGCACATTTCATGCATCATGTAATTTATGGTCTTTTGTGACTAGTTTCTATCATGTAACATGTTTTTGAGGTTCATACATGTTGTAGCATATGTCAATACTTCATTCCTTTTACTGTTGAATAAATGCTCCATAGATGTGCCACACTTTGTTTATTCATTCAACAGTTTAGGGACATTTGGTTGTTTCCACTATTTGGCTATTATAAATAATGCTGTTATGAACATCTGTATGTAAGTTTCTATATGGATATGTTTCAGGTCTCCAGGATAAATACCTAGGAATGACATTCCTGGTTTGGTCATATGGTAACTCAATGTTTAAAATTTTGAGGAACTGCCAAACTGTTTTCCAGCACAGTTTGTACCATTTTATATGCTCATCAGCAACATATAAAGATTCCAGTTTCTCCACATTCTTATCCACACTACTTATTGTCTTTTTTAAAATACTCATCCTATGTATTATATCTCAGAGTACAATATTTGATAGAATACTATAGAAAGATGAATTAACCCTTTAACAGTTGATATTTACAGTGGAATATTTCTCCAATAGCAGTGAGAGCTGTGCACTACTCTTCTAGTTTGTATGGTTTCCCTTCTGATGAACAAAAACACTTCAAGTATGCCTCGGATGAGTTTGGTAGTATAATCGAGATACGAGAACAATTTATCCTCTATGAAAGCTAATGTGATAACCAGGAATACCTATGTCATCAGCACAAACCAAAACATGAAAAAAAAATCAGTTTTAAGTGTCCACCATTTTATTCTTTTTCTTTATAGTCCAGGCTCTAAATCATTCACATTTCTGCATCCATCTTTTTCATAACATCCATCCTAAGTACTTTATATAATCACATATCAGAGAGCCTTCCTCCACAATGGTTTTCATTGCTTTCACCCTCTGACAAAACACTGAATGGGAATTTTAAACCCCAGGTAAAAACTTAAGGATGTCTTCATCAGTGATTTCATTTACTAGCTAGGAAATAACACTCCAAAATGCTGAGATATCATTTGATGTTAATTAATTCCCATTAGTTGATTGCTTCAAGGAAGACTACTGATTTAAACTAATATTCTCTGGTCACCTCTAACATATAATAATTTCCACTTACTTTCAGGGCTTGCATCTGCCGCTGCATGGCGCATACTTTTCAGCTGATTTTGTACTCTCTGCAGTCTCTGCACTGCATGAAAGAGCTTGAAAATACAATTAGACCCATTACTTGCTAAGTGTATTGGGTGCTATCATTCACATAGACAATCTATGAAAAATACAAGTTCCACATAAATCTTGTGATGTAAAAGGAATAAATAATAAGAAGTAGGAAATTACTATGTTATATCCCAAAATGTAACTGGTTCTGTCCATTTATTTTCATGTAAAACTTTTTTTAAAAGAGCTTTCAGAAATTATTCTCTTTTAGTTATTTGTTGAACTTGGTGGTCAAGGAAAATTGCTCATTAAAGAAATACATGCACCAGGATTTGTTTAACTATAACACGGTTTTCTTAATTCTAAGGAAAGCTATCATTTTCACAAATGTCTCAGAATCCGAAATGATGCTAAGTTACCATTCAGCTTGCAGCAATTAGGGCAATGCAGCTTACTGCTGCAGTGAAAGTATTATAATGCCACATCAAGTTCCAAAAGAACCAAACATCTAACTGCCCAGTCAGTAGGAAATGGAGCTGATTTGAATATATTTTTGATGTATAAGTCTACTTAGCTTTAAGATAGATTTTTAATAAAATAAAAGTGATACTTTCTGGCCAAGTTATTTTTTTCTTTAAAGCCTACAAATGTGGTATGGGTGATTTTGAGCTTTTTCATGATTTGTTTATTTGCCACTGGAGTAAAATGTAGAAGATACTGCAATCAATGGAATAAAATGGATGCTCTCAGAGCCCCAGAACCTCAGGATACCTCAGATTCTAGTTTATCAGCTGTTAATCCTACTGCTTAATAAATGTTCTATAACATTGGAACACCATGAGTCAAGCATTGGCCAAAAGACAGTGTGTAGATACCTGATGCACAGAACCCCAAAAGCAGTATTGTTGCTGCTGGTGCCACAAAGTGTGCTGCACCGTGTTAGCAAAGCACAGCATTAACTTCTATAATTTTAAAAAACTATTTTTTCTTTAAAGAAGGAACTATTTCTTTCATCATGAGAATATAAACTTTTATATGGATACCTGATTCTTTTGTTCCTGTTTCTGTTGTGCAAGAAGTTCTTCTCTCTCTTCTTCAACTCGAAGTTGCCTTGCTATTTTAAGCATCTGTTGATGATTCTGAACTGTCTCCACCTACAGTAAGGGAATAAGTAGTACATGTTACTGTCAAGGTTAAGAAAGAAATTAGCATGTCACATGACTCAGACATTCACTTACCATTTTCTTTTGGTAAACAGTACTCCCTAGAGATGACAGTAAAGCTCCAGACTCCAGGTTCTTAAAAGTTTTGGGCTACTGTCTAGGGAGAGTCACTTTCCATCAGTGTTATTTGAGTCTGTCTTCAGATGTACACCTATGCCTTGTTTAATCTTTTTTTTAAATTAAAGTATTATTGATATACAATCTTTTTTTTATTAAGGTATTATTGATACACACTCTTATGAAGGTTTCACATGAAAAACAATGTGGTTAGTACATTAACCCTTATCATTGATATAGAATCTTATGTTGGCTTCAAATATACAACACAGAGATTCAACATTGTGGGTGAAATTGTAATATTTCCAGAATATCTCGCCTGGCTTTAGTCCATCTGCATATCAATAGGCGTTTGGAGGTGGAAAGAAGTATGGCTTTAGTGCATTTGCATCATTCCTCAGGGGTGGAGAGAAGTTCATCTCCGTATCAATGAATAATTACCTGAGCAAGGAGGGCTTATCTGTAACCGAGAGGAGAGAGAAGTGCCTGTTTTGCTTTTGATGGAGCAGGAAAGAAAGAAACGGCCCCAGACTGCAGTTTGTAAGCAATAAACAGATTTTAAACTTTATTTCTCCCTTTGACTGATTTTGGTTTTTAGAGGTATTTTGCCCCGGAATTTCCTCTCCCTGGACTTACAGTTACCCATATTATTAAATCCTCACCCACTCTAGTGCAGTTACTATCTATCAATGTAGTAAAATGTTACAGAATTATTGACTATATTCTCCCTGTGACCAACTTACATTGTGATAGTGAATTGTGTCCCTTTATCCCCTACACCCTCCCCTCCCACTCACTATAACACCCCTTTGGTCCCTTCTCAGTGTCTATGAATCTACTGCTATTTTGTTCCTTCTGTTTTGCTTTGTTTTTATACTCCACAAATAAGTGAAATCACATGGTATTTGTCTTTCTCCACCTGGCTTATTTCACTGAGCATAATACCCTGCCTTGCTTAATCTTTATCTGCATCCCCAAATCTTTGCAAGTCCTTGGGACTTGCAGCCAAAGTCTTACAGTGCTAATTCTTGCCTTACCCTTTTCTTCAAATGTTCAACTCTCTTAATAAGCTGATCCTTTTCTTCCTCCATTGCACTGATATCCTGAAAAGCAGTCAGGAAAACATTATTAGAAAAATTTATCTTTGTCTATAGAATTCAGATAAGGTTTTTATATGATTATGCATCACCATTTTCATCACTTAAAACCAGAGCATTAAGGACAAATATTCTCTTTTGGATGAAAGGCATTTCTATTCCCCTACAAAGGTTCTTTATGCAGGGTAATTTATTTGGCAGCTTGGTGTTCATTTAGAAAAGCAACTAGAACAGGTTATAACATAGCAAGGTAAAGCTGCCAAACAGCACATTTGTACTTTGATTCCAAATATGGGCACATGATTTTTCAAAAATCTCCTGTAATGGAAAGTCGGCAGGTCTAAAAACATGAATAACAGCTGCTCGGTTAAATACCAAACTACATAACCTGCTAATTTTCCATCAAAATTATTTTTAAGGCTATGGTGTTTTCAAGACATAAATTTGTATCTGATTTTATCAATTAACCAGTCCCTTCCTAAAAATAAAGACTTCAAAAATAAATTATCTTCCTTCCAACTAGCTCTATAATATTTTCTAGTGAAAACAAACAAAAATCCTTCCTAAACCTGAAAAACTGATAGCTTAACTACCATAGTAATACTGAAAGGAAAAATATATATGGTAGTCAATATAGGATTGAGAGAAATAGGCACTATTACTAGTGGTGGTATTACATTGAAGATCAGTATCAAAAGTCTTTAAAAAAATGCATATACCCTATAGCCCAGTAATTGCATATCTGGGAATTTATCCTAATAAGATATTCATGAAAGGTCACAGATTTCTCTGTAAGGATTCTCATAGATGCTAATTATATCTAAATTTGGAAATGACCCAAATATCTAGATTATTAAACTGTAGCACAATACAATAAAATTATTAAAAATTATGCAGAATGTTTAATGACATGAGAAAAATCATGATATGACATTACTTGAAAGAAGCAGATTACAACATTTATGCATAATACCAAGAAAAATATTTAAATATATTCACTAAAATGTCAATACTAGTTATATCTAATGTATTATAATACATAAATGTATTATTTTCTATTTTCTATTTCTTGCTTAATATGTTTTCTATAAAGAATATCTTCAGAAACACTTTGGTAATAATGAAATTAAAATTACAGACTCTACATTATTTTATCATTTTGGTTATTACTCATGTGACATAATGGAGGAATGGAAGGTAGACATCACTCTTCTTTTACACTGTTTTAAGTATCTATCTGTGGGTCTTTCTTCTCTACTAGATGTGAGTTCATCTTTCACTCCTAATATATTCAACAAATTCTTACTGAAGAGGGGCACTGTGACAGGAGCTAGGGATATAGTGGTGAACAAGATAAATAGACACTTGCCCTCATAGAGCTTAATGATAATTGGGAAGACACATTAATTATAAATATAATGAGTGTTATAAAAACAAAATGAATTGGGGGGACTAATCTATCTAGGGAATCAGGGAAGGCCTCCCTGAGGAAGCAACTTCTAATGTTTCCTGATTGAATAAGAAGATAAAGATGGCATTAACAACTCAGGAATTCTAAAATACAGAAATTCATGAATGTGAGAACTAGAAGTATTTAGAAAAGAATTTATATGCCTGGTAAGAACATAAAAATATTTTTTGGAGAACATTAAGTAACATGCATCAACAGCCCTAAAATTTTTTTCATATCCTTTAATAAGCAATTCCATTTCTAGAAATTTATTCTAAGAATCACAGATACCCAAAAATAAATTTATGTATAAGATAATTATAGCATTAACTATAATAGGAAAAAATGAAAACAAAAAAACCCACAAAAATGTTAAAATGTCCACATTGTGGAATATTATTTAGTCACCTAAATCATGTTGCAGAAAGATTAAAAATGGAAATATATTCACAATGTAAATGATTTAAAAATATAAAAATAACTATGTACAGTGTGATTCCAAATATATATACACACACACAAGCCTGAAAAGGTATATGACAAAATGTAACAATTGGATAACTTTTTCTCATTTGTTTTCTCTATTTTCTGTAATATATATTACAGAAAGAAGTTAATGTATATATAGTAAATAAAGACCCAGAATATAAACCTTTTTAATCTATGGTAGTGGTCTATATAGTATGTAGAAACTCATTATGAAGTTACCTTGGCCTCATTAATTTCTTTAGTAAAGAACTAGCAAAGGTCCTATAAAAGAAAATCTGCTATTTGTTATCACTAGTTTCCATATAGTCTTAGGACTCATACTGAATTAAGTAAAAATAAAAGTGTTAAATCTAATATTATTCAAATAAAAAAAATATTATTTATGTGTTATTTTATTTACCCTTCTTATTTCTGCTGTAGAAAATCTAGATGTCTTGAGCTGCTCACATTCTTTATGCAAAGTTTTAAAGGCTTCCATCAACTCTTCATACTAAAAGAACAAGTTAAAAAATTATACACTAATGACTAAACACAGTAGGCTTTTCTTAATCAGGTTATCTATTAACTTAAAGTAATTACTTCAATCATTATAGAGGAGCATTAAAAATACATCCTTAAGATGCTCCACATCGCTAGTCATCAGAGAAATGCAAATTAAAACCACAATGAGATATCACCTCACACCAGTAAGGATCGCCACCATCCAAAAGACAAACAACAACAATGTTGGTGAGGTTGTGGAGAAAGGGGAACCCTCCTACACTGCTGGTGGGAATTTAAACTAATTCAACCATTGTGGAAAGCAGTATGGAGGTTCTTCAAAAAGCTCAAAATAGAAATACCATTTGACCCAGGAATTCCACTTCTAGGAATTTAGCCTAAGAATGCAGCAGCCCAGTCTGAAAAAGACAGATGCACCCCTATGTTTATTGCAGCTCTATTTACAATAGCCAAGAAATGGAAGCAACTTAAGTGTCCATCGGTAGATGAATGGATAAAGAAGATGTGGTACATATACATAATGGAATATTATTCAGTCATAAGAAGAAAAAAAAAACCTACCATTTGCAACAACATGGATGGAGCTAGAGGGTATTATGCTCAGTGAAATAAACCAGGCAGAGAAAGACAAGTACCAAATGATTTCATTCATATGTGGAGTATAAGAACAAAGAAAAACTGAAGGA